CGGGCGGTCCCTCTTTTCTCAAGGCAACATGCATCCACGGTTCAAACCATTCTGAATAATTAGTAATGACATTACATCTCTATAGATGTCAACACTACTATTGGGGAAGTTTAACAAGACTTTACACAGGACGATCTGGATTTGTCGATTGATTTTCCGGGCACTTCAACTGGAATAGTCATTAGCCCCGTAAGTGTAGTGCATGTTTTTATCACGGAAGGTGTCGATGAGGGACCTGAACTATGATCGACGCTAACTCGGAAGCATAAAAGTATGGATAGAATCGAGGACAGATAGGATAGGAATAGAGGCAAGTTGTAACTGTTGTATCCGAAAATGTCGAAAAGGTGAAATCGACTGCACAAGTATCTCGGACATTTACGTATGTTTATCACATTCTAGACTGAACTATTTGGGACAAGGGTGCCATATCAGCCTCAAAATGTTTCCCGTTCTCTTTGAAAATTACTTTGGAACGAAGAGCCCGTTCTGATATATAGCTGTAATCCAAGCAACCCACACGGGCTTTTATTCTTTAAAGTTATTTTCATACTTCATCGTACTTGATCTGTTCATGGTCCTAGCTCACCGCGGTCACGCTCCTCCACGAGATTTGGCTCCTCTGCGAATCCAATATTTTTGCATCCTATATTGGAAGCAGAAGAATTCGCCTCTATTAAGAGCTGCCAATAGAAATACTCGCCGGTAGAAAGAGGCATTTACAGGGACAACCACGAATAGATGTTATGGAGATAATCAGAATACGACAGTTTTTACCCCTGACAGTTTTATCCGCAGTGCTCTAGAAACCTCTCACGTATTCCAATCACCTGCGGACTACAAAGCGTTATAATAGGGGTCGTTACATAACGAATAAGGGAAACCTGCAGCCATAAGTCATTGCCTAAAATAAGTCGACAGTTACAGAAGTCCATATTTCACCGACATCATTAACGTGATTTTGGAGCTTATTCTCATACTAAATGACAAGAATTATTTTACTATGCAAGATCATAATAATAATAATTTTTAAGCGGCATGCTTGTGGCTGGCTTGTTTATCTTTAGAGTACGAAAATTACAGTATTGTCGTCACTTCGGTGGCCATCCTTCCGAAGGTAGGCCGACAGGTACGTCGGAATGCAGGTGACAAGAGAGGATTAGAAAGGTGCGGCTAAAAATAGCCAGCTGCGGGGACTAGGGTGCAAGCAGAGGCAAGCGACGACCACGTGAAGGGGAGAAGGTCGCCCCCTCACAGAGGTCGGAATGATCAAGTGATCGGCGCTATATATTCTAGCCCAGAGTACGAGAAGGACGCTACTCAAGCCTAAATGACGCCTCTGAGCTAAATTCAAATCGCATGTTTCTCGCCCAAGAAATTCCTCCTTTCACTGCTAGTTGATGAACGGAGCGTAACGAAATTTGCGTGGTCAGACGGAAGAGCGGGCCTGATGGCCCGATTCTCGCCACGTAAAATAAGGCAAATTCAATTCAATTCAATTCAAAGGATGGGGCGATTCTGACAGCCGAAGCCGCTCGCGCTCTGCGTGGACGAAATTAAACGAACCAAAAATGCCAAATAACTAGGTGTCACTTTAGATAGTCCACTTACTTTTAAACCACCGCGTAGAAAACCTGCAGACCAAAGGCACATTGGGAAGCCGGACAAACTATCAACCGCAAAAAGCCTCACGCTCTATAAAGCAATATGCCTACGCCTGCGCCAGTTGGGCAATTGCAGCGAATTATCATTTGAAAAAACTGCAAATGGTTCAAAACGAATGCGTCAGGTCCCACTTCGCGCCCGTAGCCAATTCTTGTAACGCGATTGCATCGCGTGTGACCAATGCCACTATTCACTGATCGCATAAATAAGATTGCAACTTTTTTTTTTTTTTCGGAAAAGCAGCTGACTCGGAAAAAACTCTCATTTCCGAAATCGCTTCATAGCATCCCAACCAACCGGGCGAAGTATAAACGACCTAAGAACTTGCTGGAGAAAAGAAACCGAAACAGCGCAAGGATACCTGAAACATAAACATTATATTTCTGCACATGCAAATTGCGTGCCGGCTGGCTAATGTCAAAATGACCCTCTGTTTTTACTTTCTCGCACTTACTAACGTAAGATAAGAAATAATTGCAATTGTGCGCCGGAAAACGGCGAATTTTCAACCCAAAAACTCCTATTGGAGGGCCCTGGTAACGAAAAAGGGGATAAACCCCGTTGCTAAATTTAGAGAAAAAAATCCTCCAACACGAGGTGTAACCAGAATTCATCTTTGTGCCTCCTTCATACTGAAAAATCCTTTGACGGCCAAACGTTTCTCTGTCGGCCCGTCTCTCCTACCATCTGTCCATCTGAGCACTACGCTAGCTAATAAACCCTTCAACCGTTTAAAATTGATATTCCCCCAACGTTCTAGCTGATATCGCGTCCCCTTGGATTTAAAACCAATATTTGTTTGGGGGGCGGGTACTTTAGAAGAAACTCATGGGACATTTTCAAAACTAAAAAAAAGGCTCCAAATGTTTGATTACATTTTGTTGTTGAATAGTGCAAGAACGTTTAAGAGAATGATGCAGGTCTCATTTACGTTGACATCCCTAATATTTCGAAAATTGGAAACAAAATTCAAAATTCAAAGTTGAAGATAGAGATTTTTGTCTCAAAGTCTGTTGAACAAAATTAGCTCGTTAAAAATGTCATGTACAGTTTTTTGAAAAAACAGTAGTTTTTCCGTATTTTTCGCTCGAAATGTTCGATTTTTCTCAAATACCGTTTCAATTTTTTTCTTTAAAATTTCTTCACTTAAAATATGGTGCTAGTCCCATTTTCGGGTACCGCTCGTTTTTTTGTTTTTATTATTATTATTATTATTATTTCAACAACAAAAATTTGAAACCACAAAATTGAAGATCGAGTTTTGCCCCAGACAAAGTCTGTTGTACAAAATTAGCTTTTTAAAAAAAGTCAACCCCGCCAACCTGGGCCCAAAGTACCGGAAACCAGGCTCTACCTGTCAAGGATAAAGAGGGGAGTGATAGAGGAGTAACACCTCTTTAAAAAACCTTGGTCCAGCTGACCCGGCTGGTAGTATCTTGAGAGGGCCCCTTGCCAGGGTAACCGTGAAAACCCCAAACCCCAACAGCAGCTAGGGCGAAATAGGACGCCTCTGAAGCGACATAACTGGCGAAAGAGGCACCTGTCCCATTTGAGGACAACAAATTAGGATGCATGTCTAGAGGCATTAAGATGGCAGCCTCATCACTACACTTACCCATCAATTGGCTCGTAACATGTTATGGGGAATTTAAAGTTACTGACACTCTTCAACAAGCCAAGCCGGATAAAGACAATGATGGCGACTATAGAAAGAAAAAGGGCAAACGACTGAGATAGACTAAAGATGGGAGTATGGAATGTCAGGGGAATAAAAAATAAAGAAACGGATCTTGAAAATGCACTACATTGTATAGCAAAATGCACTACAGTATATTAAAAAAAATAATATATCCGTAATTTCAGAAACAAAGATGAAGGGTAAAGAGCCAAAGATCTAGAATATGATGTTGATGTAGAATTTCCATGGATACAATTTGCAGCGATGCCACCGATGGAGAGGGAGGTACCTGACCCGCGTCCCTTCGGCTAGTGAAGCGAGGGGTATTTATGACGTTTTATGGCAGGACACCCCCGCGCAGTTTGGGGAAAAGGGAGCCTTTTGTCTGCAACCGGATCCCGCCCAATCCTCGAAAGGGTGCTTTCCCCACCCACGCGACCGCTCGTCACAGTGACCCGACGTTAATTGCGCCCACTTGGGGGAGACAAATTTACCATCCCAACGAACCGCGGCGCATGTGCGGGTCCGAAGTACGTCATGACGATTTTTTTAGCCAGCCACGAAAAAAAAATTAAAAAACTCGCCGCGAAATTTTAGCTGTTAAAAGGGAATACGCGTCATTGGTCGAAGACCCGCCCCACCGTGCTCCACGAAATTCAATCGCGCGTACCGGGAGGATTCTCACTGGAGAAGAAGGGGGTACCGAGACTTCATGATTCGGGAGAGCAGCTCTGAAAAATACTTATTCGAGCATTCTTGCGGAGAGAAGTCGAGCTCTCACGCTCTGACTTACTCTAACATTCTTGCGGAGGGAAGTCGAGCTCTTAGGGCGCCTTCCCACGGCGCGACCGCGGCGCGCTTCCTTCAAGGAGAGAGCTTTCCGTCGCAGCCCGCGGAGCACGGCCGCAACGCGCCGCGTGGAGGGGTGGGGTTGGAGGGGTAGGTTTTCGCGGCCTCCGGCGACGACGACAAAGGACGGAGCAGGTAGAAGCTCGGCGCGGGCAGTTGGGAAGCTCCATTTACAGTGGTTGTGCTAGCGGTGGCACGTGGCCTCCTCGCTTTCGCGTAGTGGGAGTTCGGGTCGGCTGCCGAGAGAGCCGCCGGCTTGCCGTGGGAAGGCCTCCATTCAAATCAATGCTCTGCTACGCGCCGCGCTGCTGCGAAGCGCGCCGCGGCCGCGCCATGGGAAGGGGCCCTATCTGTGCACAGTAGCACGCGGTCGCGTGCCATAGCACGATTTGTCCCGCCAACGATTGCCCGATACGGAAGACGGATGATTTCCGATCCGTCATCGCCGATGCAAGCCGTAGCTGCCTGGAGGTTGGCGACGTCATGCACGGGTGCGGCCTGAGAGGGCGGCAACGCTAAACGGCCACGCTGAGGTGCAGCCGTGGTCCTCCGCAGATGTCTGGGGGCGGCCCGCCCGTGACGCCGGTCAACAACCCCACCACTGTGCGTGCTGTGCTGCCCGCCGACAACGACAACAACTAAAGGGTAATAATTCGCTTTGCTCCCGCTAGAGTGCGGATGAACATTTCTTTGAGCAAAGCTGGAAAGAAGGTGCTATCAGCACAATATTAATGACGGCCTATTAATTGAATTGCAATTATATCGAGTCAAACTAATGAGTAAATTTAACTACAAAAAGGTCGCACTTGTCATAATTGTAGATAATTTGTATATCACCCATTATCATAATCATTTAGGCATTAAATGTTTGTTTACCAAAATGTCATGATTATTATTGAAAAAACCAATTCCCGCTCCAGAAGCCACACACACACATTCGGCAGGTGTGATGGGTTACAAGATATACAATGGAAAACCTCAAAACGAAAGAGCCAGTACTGGAATAGACATTTTAATTGATAAAAAGAGGAAAACCAAAATACGCAGTTATATAGACATAAGTAACCGAATCCTGATAAGATTTGAAATAGAAAGAGGCTATTTAACCATAATCGAAGTTTATGCTCCAGAAGAAGGCAAAACAGACTATACGGAAGTATTTCATGAAATGCTACAAAAACAGGTACTGAAGTATAAAGACGATCACTTAGTTATAGCGGAGGATCTGAATACTACGGTAGGTAAATAACCAATTCAAGCCATTGTAGGACGTTGTGGGGAAGAATACATCTACAGAAATGGAGAAGAACTGCAACAATTTGCCACCTATAACAATCTTAAAATTACCAACACGTTCTTTTAGGAAAAAGAGATACATAAGTACACCTGGAGCGCAAGAGGTAGCAGATCAATGATTCAATGATTGATTGTGTTATAGTGAATAGAAAAGTAGCGTCCCAAATATCTGATTTGAGAGTCTTCCGAGGAAGTAATGTACATTCAGATCACTTTCTAGTAATATCAACAACATCCATATTAGCTAAGTGGAGGGAAAAAACGAATAAATAAAACACCTCAAAAGAAAGAAATATATAAAATTCACTTATTAAACGAAGACAGTGTAAAGAATGTATACCATGAACGATTAAAAGTCAGATCCCAGCACAAGTTAATGTAAATAAAGAATGAAATAATGTAAAAAGTAAAATAAAGAAAGCAGCTGATGATGGCTTAGGTACAAGCTGCAAAAATAAAAGAAAAGGATTGAAAATATGGACACCCAAACTCGCTCAAGCCATTAATGATAACAATGCAATGCTTACAATAAATTGTTACAAAATAATACAGAAGAAACCAGAGGGGCATATAAACAAATAAGGAACTACCCAAGGCACTTATAAGAAAAGTCCACCAAGAATCATGGTGACGGTTTGTTAGTAATATTGACGACTATGTGCACGGATGACAAACTTTAGCTTACAAAGTAATGAGGCAATTAAATGGAGACACAATTAATTCTGCTGAGCTAAACATAACCAAAGAGAAAGAGTGGCTGGATTACTATAAAAGTTTATGGTATGACTCGAATGTGACTCTCTTCTAGAATATGTCAGAATATATTGTTAAAAGAACAATGTGGATTTAGACAAGGAAGATCATGTATCGATGATGACTCCATTAATGTGCTTATTCAGAAGAGGGTAGAATTTAATCAGGAAACTCACATTGTTTTCATAGATTATGAAAAAGCCTTTGATATGGTACATCGACATACTACATGGAAGATAACGAATAAAAGAGGCATTTCACTACATTTAATTGATTTAGATTTAGATTTATTTAGTCAAAAACCAGTAAAAACTGTATGTGACGTATAGGGGAGAAGATTATCTGCCCACATATTCTTGAGTTCCAGAATCCCTTCTCGTCATTTTAACTATAAATAGTTGAAATATAGGTAAAAGTTTGAAAGAAAGAAATAACAATAAATTTTTAAAAATCGCGAGATTAATAATATTTGAAGAAAATAGACATTTTCGTTTCCAAATTATAGAAAACTTATTTGCATCCGTAAACGAATTGCAAGTATGATTTTCCTGCATTGCTGACAAAATAGTAACTCGCCCTTACCTCCACTCCCACCATAACAAGCAAAAGGAGAGTTCAACAAAACGTGCGCATAGTGAAGCTACAGTTACCTCCAGAAGCAAAATAAGGGACAATCTCAGCATTTTCTCAATAGATCAGGGAAACTGGACAAAAACCTGATCGAAATGGGGGTCATTGACCTGGAAGCTGAAGTACATTGTGTGTACAAAATATACAATACCAATGTAAACTAATTCAATATATAGAATTGTATAACACCGTTTTGTTAAAATAAACATTATTTATCTTTTTGATAATCAAATAGTCTCTAATTGTAAAGAAACAATTAAGCAGCAGAAAATATATTACTTTTAACTTAAATTTGTGAACCGACTTCAATTGTTTAATGCCATCTCGCAATGCGTTGTAAAGTAACGTACATATATTATATGGGGATTTCTGATAGTGAGCTGTTGATACTGACACTTGATTACTGTGATTTTTACGACGTGTGTCGTAATTATAAATATCAGTATTGCATGAAAATATGTGCCCACTGTTAAGTAAGTCACTTTTGACAAATATAACAGATTCGTAATTATATAGGCAAGGTAGTTGTAAGATTCAGAGCTCAATGAAGAGAGGCGTGCGAGGATCACGCGATTGGCATGTTTTCATTATTCAAATAATTTTCGTTTGCAATCTAAAGGTCTGAGTACTACATGCGTTTCCACAGACTTTTATGCCATATCTCAGGCGGGAATGTACATTTATAACATACACGCAATGAGCTGCATGAAGGCTGACAGAATATGAAAGAATTCTGAATGCGTAGCATAATGAACTTAATTTAGTGTGAAATTTTGTTATACGAATGTACATTCATTTGAGGTTTGACTGAACTGACAGACCCAGAAATTTTGTTTCCTGAACATCAGCTAATTGCATATTGTTCATTTTCAATGGAGCATGCGATTGCTGATTTGAAACGCAAAAATGTATTGAAACTGTTTTTTCTTCGTTAACTAATTTGTTATTGCAAAACCAATTTGAAACTTCTGAAATCGTACTATTTCGTTTTTGCAAAGAACATTCGTGTCATCGGCAAACAGAACCGTTCTTCCATTTTTAATAGACAACGGCATATCGTTTACGAATAACAGAAAGAGGATAGGACCTAAGATCGAATCTTGCGGGACCCCATATTCAATTGGTAAAGAATTGGAAAGATATCTAAATAATGTCCTTTCGTTCCAGTATGCTATTTCTACCCTTTGAGATAGATATTTAAGGTACGTGGTTATCCCATCTAGGGCGATACAACGAATTCCATTAGAAGGTAATTTTGATAGCAAGATGTTATGATCAATAACGTCAAAAGCTTTTGAAAGATCTAAAAATATTTCAATGGGTGCTTCATTTGATGAAGCAACATTTTTTAGAAATGAAAAAATGGCAATTTTCGTAGATTTTTATTTTCTACAACCGTGTTGCGAATCTGAAAACGATTTTTTTCCTGAGAAAAGTCTCCATTTGCGTGTAGAAAAGTCTAATATTTTTGAGAAAACTGACAAAAGAAAAAGTGGTCGGTAATTTTGAATTTCATTTTTGCTCCATTTTTTAAAAAGTGGCTTAATTTTTGCGGTTTTGAATATATCTGTAATATTCCTGCACATAAAAAAGCATTAGAAATGTGAGTTAAAGGGTGTATGTATAAAGGCAAGTGCACGTTTTCAATAAACAATCCGGAAATTCATCAAAAACAGATGAATATATTTTACTGACTATTCGTAAGAGGTATCGGAAATAAACATCGTGTCGAATTTTTTTTGGAAAGGTACTGATGTTGAATTTTGGGGTTTTAGTCCCTTCGTTAGTTCAGCCGCGATTCGAGAAAAGTGTTGGTTGAAGAGATTTGCCACTTTTTTTAGATTACTGGCTTCTCTTTCATTATCCATTAAAACAACATTATCTATTAAGTTACGAGATGATGTGGTCGAATTTTTTACGGCATTCCACATTGCTTTAGTTTTCTTACTACTGTTCAAAACATTCTGATTCTTTTTCATTATTTTTGCCTGAACTATTACTTTCCTTAAGATTTTTTGTATTCTCGGAAGTACACATGGAAACCGGGTGATACGTTATGATGTTTAGAAATAAAGTATTGCTTACGTTGCTTATTTTACACGATATTCTAATACCTTGTGTGATTCAAGTATTATTTTTCCGTGAAATATTTATTTTTTGTATTTCTTTCTAAGCAATCCGAAAAGCATAATAGAAATTTCGCAACAATGGCGCATCGATTTTTGAGAAACTAATTGTTGTCGAACGTCGAGATGTTGGCGGTGATAAGATACAGTACAGCTAATGGTGTAACTCCTAGGCCGAATCAGTACTTTCGTTTGCGATGAATTTAGCAACGGATTTTTTATAAATTACTCCTCAGAATGCCCGGTGAGGTATGTTACATACGTATGTTTAATATCTGATCCCTAAAAATATTAACTGCATATTGAATAAAAGAAAAACGATGCAACGCTATTAACTTACAACGAAAGGCAACTCACAAGTGAGCAGTCACAATTTTCGTAATTCTTTTTTATGTAAATTGCATAAATATTTTAATTACGGTATTGATATTATTAGTCAATTGAATGCACATAGTTTTGACAACGCTGCGCTGGAAATAGTGCGTTGCTCGCTTCTAGGTTGAAATAGGACGTTTTCAAATAATAGCTGAAGTGCTAGTAGCGCAGAAAAAGCAATATTTCAATATTACGTGGCTGTATTTGCATGTCTTTATATTGCAGGATTGGCCTCCGGCTGTGCGAAGGGTAGGGATGGTCGCATCGCATTGGCGTAAACGTGCATTCTTTGCTCGCGTTCACAAAACTGCAGAAATGCGACTCGCTTAGAAGGCAAGGTGCGCTTCCTGCGTGCGTGAAGACGCAGAACTGCTCGCCCTGGAAAGCGAAACGGGACATCGCCAGTGAGCTGCACTCTCGTGTTTGGAGTCATTTTCTTTGAGGGCCTGCGCTGAGCGCTCT